TCTCTCTCACACACACACACTCTCACACACACACTCACACACACACACTCACACACACACTCACTCACACACTAAAAGAGCTTTGACTGGATAAAATACTCTAAACTATCAATCAGAGACAGAAGACATGAGGAGATTGAGTGTGAAACAGGATTAGCAGCAAAGACTGATCATTTAGAGAAATCATAAATGTGGCCCTGGAGCACAAAAGCAGTCTTAAGTCGCTGGGGTATATTTGTAGCAATAGCCAACAATACATTGTATGGGTCAAAATTATACATTTTTCTTTTATGCCAAAAATCATTAGGATAATAAGTAAAGATCATGTTTCATGAAGATATTTTGTAAATCTCCTACCGTAAATATATCTAAACTTAATTTTTGATTAGTAATATGCATTGCTAAGAACTTCATTTGAGCAACTTTAAAGATGATTTTCTCAATATTTAGATTTTTTTGCACCCTCAGATTCCAGATTTTCAAATAGTTGTATCTCAAGCCAAATATTGTCCTATCCTAACAAACCATACATCAATGGAAAGCTATTTATTCAGCTTTCAGATGATGCACAAATCTCAATTTCACAAAATTGACCCTTATGATGGTTGTGTGGTCCAATGTCACACGTGATCCAGTATGTTTACAGTGTTGATGGGTGAAGTGTCTGTCATGTGTGTTCAGTGAATGCAGTGAGTTGTTTCTCCGTCTCATCAGTCTGAATCAGATCTCCGCTGTGCTGCCGGACGAGCCAGAGTTTCTACATCACGTGACGCAGCTGGATGTGAGAGACAACTGTCTGAGCGAGCTGGACGCGTCTGTCTTCCTGCGGCTGGAGGTGCTGCACTGTCAGAGGAACTGCATCAGGCGTCTGCGTCTGCGTGGCTGCACGCTCAAGGCTCTCTACGCCTCCAGCAACGGTACAGACGCAGCACCACTGCTCACATGAACACACACAGCCTCGTCTCCACTGACGCTCACGCTTTCTGTCCCCAGAGCTGCAGGAGCTAGACCTGAGTCCCGCCGCCGCCAGCCTCACACACATCGACATCTCCAGGTGCGTGACATCATGACGTGTGAAATCACTGCAGACGAACACACATCATGACACGAATGTCCCGTCTGCTCTCTCGCAGGAACTGCATGAAGGCTCTTCCTGATTGGCTGAGTGACAGCAGGAAGCTGGAGGTTCTAGACGTCAGTCACAATCACATCACTGAGCTTCCTCCGTGGTGAGTGAGTGTGTGTGTGTGTGTGTGTGTGTGTGTGTGTGTGTGTGTGTGTGTGTGTGTGTGTGTGGATTGAGTGTGCCTCCTGATGACTGATATTAGTGATCGCCAGGTTTTGATGGAAGCAATAATTAATAATTGTCTGTAAAGCGTTGACAATTACTGCATTTGCACTGGTTTATTTGGAAGGTGCTTTTATGCAAAACAAGGAATACAAAAGAGTGATTGATCAGGTTACTGTCACTTATTTGTCTTAGAAATGTAAGAAATGTCATTACACGCCTCACATGGAGGATTTCACTTGAATATGGTCAATTAAATGATGCACAAGGCACATGCACAATTGCTCTATGAGGTATTTTAAGAGCTGTTTATGCAGAACAGATGTAGATGCAAAGTACTGCCAGCGGTGGAAGTGCTAGACCTGCAGCACAATCAGCTCATCCAGCTTCCCTGCAACCTCTTCCTCAAATCAGAGAGGTCAGACACACAGAAGTCAGTCAAACGTCCGTAACAAAATGCGAGTTTAATCAAAACACAAAATTACAAAATCCAGTTGGTTCTTATATCCCATGATATTGCACTTGTAATTCCTTTAACTCGTGTTTCCTTAAACGTTTAAACACAAGTTTATCCATAAATGACAGCAAGACGGTAAGAAAACTGTTTCTCCCTTATTTTCCTGCACGCACCTATTCCTACTCTCACAGCCCGTGCATGGCCGTTAAAGAAACAGAACCGAAATTATACATAGGAAATATCAAAATTGCCTCTCAAAGAAAGTTACAGAAGTTATACTTTAGGTCATTACTTGCAAATCAACACAAATTACAAATTAACAAATTAATTAAAAAATACAAATTATTGACATATAAAATTGGCTCTTACAACAGATATAAGAGTAAGCGTGCAGTGTAGGTGAGCTGTGTTTCTGCTGCAGCGCTGCGTGTGTTTGACGTTCACTCCGTCCTCAGGCTGCTGTGCAGTGCGAGTCTGAGGAAGATCCTGGCGGGTCATAACCAGCTGAAGCGTCTGCCGGAGCGTGTGGAGCGTCCAGCGGTGGAAGTGCTAGACCTGCAGCACAATCAGCTCACAGAGCTTCCCTGCAACCTCTTCCTCAAATCAGAGAGGTCAGACACACACACACACACGCACACACACACACACTCAACAGTTTTATTTAATAATATCGTAGAATGTCTTTTGATACACTTTTTTTTTTCAATCATTATTGTCATATAGGTGTTATATGTGAAAGTTCTTTTTAAAGTCTTCTAAAGGTTTTCACTTTTTCAACGAAATATTTTCTATTCCTTAAAATGCAAAGCAACTATAACAAATCTCACATTGAAATTATGATTTTGATTTTTATTCACAAACTGATACTGATTATTAATTCATTTTACTCACTTTTATGACACCGCTTGATATTAAAATATTAACGTGAAATACTATTTTGCGGGCGGATCTTTTCTAGACGGTGTCTGTGTGGTTTGTCACTTCCTCTTTCTCTCAGTGTTAACGGAGTCATGGACGTTTCTGAATGAATGTATTCATCAAATCAATGTTCTCTCTCTGTTCTGCAGTAAAATGGCCAAGCTGGAGGAGCTGGAGGAGCTGGACCTGAGTGGGAACAGGCTGAAGGCGGTGCCCACCACCATCATGAACTGCAGACGCATGCACACACTAGCAGCTCACTCCAACTGCATCGAGGTGTTCCCCGAAGTCCTGCAGCTCACTGAGATGAAGGTCACATCACACTCATACTCACACACACACACACACACTCACTCACTCCATCATGAACTGCAGACACATGCACACACTAGCAGCTCACTCCAACTGCATCGAGGTGTTCCCCGAAGTCCTGCAGCTCACCGAGATGAAGGTCACACTCTCTTACACACACACACACGCTCACTCATAGACACACACACACTCTCATACACTCATACACTCATACACACACACGCTCACACTCACTCACTCACACACACACTCTCATACACTCACACACACTCATACACTCACACACACTCATACACACACACGCTCACACTCACTCACTCACACACACACTCACTCTCTCACACACACACTCACCGCTCACACTCACTCACACACACACACACACACACTCATACACACTCATACACGCACGTGCACACACACACTCGCTCACACACATGTAAATGATGTTATGGATATTTTTTCATATGTTTCTGTGTGTGTGTAGTGTGTGGATCTGAGCTGTAATGAGCTGAGTGAGATCACTTTACCTGACAGTCTACCTCCTAAACTTCAAGAGCTGGATCTGACGGGAAACCTGCGTCTGAATCTGGACCACAAGACCCTCGAGCAGCTCAAGTAAGAGCACGTGTGCATGTCTTACACTTCTGCCAATTTCTTTCTTCTTAAAATTAGTGATATCAAATTAACACATTAGTTCAGTATCATTAATTACAAAAATGATGCACAAAAATAATAATGCTAAAAAAAAAATCAGCAATAAGGGATTTTCCTACAATTGAATACATATAATACATTTAAAAAACATTAACTTATCAAGCCACTTCTAATATCTGTCCAATGCTTTCGACATAATCTGATATAAGTCTTTGAAATGTCTTCATTTAGGCCAGTGTTATTTTAGTATCTTTGAGATACGATTGTAGTTTTTATTCATATTTTGAATTAGATTTTTATTTTTATATTTTAATTTTAAGGTTTTTGTCATGTTTTTTTGAGATCTGTATACATTTTTGTTATTTTTTATGCCTAAATAGTTTTTATTAATGTTTGTTTTAGTTTTGGTTATTTTTTTATATCAAGTTTAACTAAACTAAAATGAGAAATGTTGCATTGGCAACTAGATGGAATAAAAAGTGGTCTGTTTTTCCTAAATACATAGTGTCTCTCAGCATCATGTGCCAACAACGGCTCTCTGTAAAACACTTCAGTTTGGTTTCGGTGGCTTGAAACTAAAAATTTCTCAAAGTTATCAGCCACTGGGGTTTTAATGTTTTATTTATTTGCCAAAGCCATTTTACTCGCTTTTAAAGTGTTTGTTTTGGACCATGCTTGTGTATATGTGTGCCATTCAATAATACATGATATCTTCCACATCTTTTCAGTAACATCCGCTGTTTCCGGATAGACCCGCCCCCTTCCTCGTTCTCAGCCAATGAGGCGGCAGGAGGGCCAGCTGTCTGGAGTCACGGCTTCACCGAAGCCTCGGGCGTCAAAAACAAGTGAGTGTGTTGTGGATCTCAGCGCTCAGAGCTGCTGTGTGTGGCGGTCAGTGACCGTGTGTATTGTGTCTGCAGACTGTGTGTGGCGGCTCTGTCGGTGAACAGCTTCTGCAGCAGCAGAGAGGCTCTGTACGGCGTGTTTGACGGAGACAGGAACGTGGAGGTGCCGTATTTACTGCAGTGCACCATGAACGACATACTGGCCGAGGAGCTCCACAGGACCAAGAGCGAGGAAGACTACATGACCAACACCTTCCTCGTCATGCAGAGGTAATGCACACGCAGCATGTTAGCGTGTTAACGTGTTAAAATGACCAACACATTCAGACCTGTCTGTCATCTTACATTGATGCAGCGTCTGATGATCATGATGCAGGACAACTGACTGTGTGATGAAGCCTATTAGAATGCAGTTATATGAGCCTAAAATTCAAGATATGAGCACAAAACAAAAACAAGCTCTTATATTTCTATCATATGATGTAGTTTAGCAATATCACACCAGCAAGTGTGCTGATTTTCCCCAATCTCTCCACCCTTGCAAATGTGATATTGATTTGGTACAACAGTTCAATAAACAACACTATATTGTCAAAATTGTCAGTTTTTCCAAAGTCAAGTGAGTCAGTGATTCAGTGACTCATTCATAAAGATAAAGTGAGTCAGTGGCTACGTTTACATGCAACCAAATAATCAATTTGTAATCAGATTGACGGCTCAATCGGACTGAAAAGCCTTCATGTAAACACCTTAATCGATCCGATTGAGCTCGATCGGAATTACATTTCAATCGGATGGAAGGGGGTAGTTTATTCCTTTTCTAATACGATTGAGAGTGCATGTAAACATTCGATCAGATTGAACCCCCGAAACTGAAAGAACTGCGCATGTGCAATGACGCAGAAATAGCGTAATGACGTATGACGCGCAGAACGAGCGGTTCTTCCTTTTGAATAAAGTGTTGTATAAATGCGTGTCCTGTCATTATAAAACTCTCCTTTCACTCGGCGACTGTGAAGTGGAGCAGGACAACCTCCCACCAGTCCTTGTTTTGGATTCTCATCCACAGGCAACCCGTCTTGGGTGCGGGGAGGGACATTTTTACTGTGTGATAAGTATGAGCAGCACGGCACAGCGGTTTATATGAAGAAATGGATAAATATTAATTCTGTTGTTAAAAACAAATAAATACACCGTGTAGGAGAGTGGTTATTATGTGCAAACAGTGAGAAACTCTATATTTGTGCAGTGTGCGCATGTCAGAAAAAATCTATTCCGATTTGAAGCTTGTGACATATAAACGTGCACATCAACCCGATCACTTTATTTAGCGTTCATGTAAACACTACATTCAGATTCATCAGTCGGAATGAATTCAGTCCGACTGAACCAAAAATTGTGCATGTGAACGTAGCCAGTGATTCAGTGACTCATTCATAAATCACCTGCTGAGTTTCTGAATGAATCAGCTGTTTGAACGAATCGGTTGAATGAATGATTCAATGACTCAATCATTAAGACAGCGACCAACACCTACTGGCGCTTTTAGTTTCATATTTGAAGCATCATTTCATTTTTTTTTTGTTGATTCATATTTACATTTTTTAAAATTCCATTAATGCCCATTTAATATCATTATTTGTGCAATGTTGAATCAAAATATTTCTTTCTAAAGCAAATTTTTGTAATATCTATTCAATGGGTTTTTTTTTTTCATTTAACACAATAATGACTTTGTTTTTATGCAAATTTATGTGCGATTAATTTGCACTTAATTTTATTAATTTATCGGCACATCATGTAAGTAATTAGATTAAAAGTTTGAATCACTCAATATCCCTACTAAGTATGTCTGTCCGTCGCTCTGGGTTGAACAGGAAGCTGGGCACAGCAGGGCAGAAGCTGGGCGGTTCGGCGGCGCTCTGTCACATCCGGCACGACCCCACTGACCCCGCCGGCTGCTTCACCCTCACCGCCGCTAATGTGGGCAAGTGTCAGGCGGTGCTGTGCCGCGACGGCAAGGCGCTTCCGCTGTCACTGCTGCACAACATCAGCATCAAAGAGGAACACAACCGCGTGCAGCAGCATAAAGCCATCATCACTGAGGTACGAGAAACACTTTCCACCAGCACTGAGGTCAACATGAGATGAACATTCATTTCACTGTGTTCCTGATCTTATTGTGTGCACCCTATTCCAAAGAAAAAAACTCGTTCATCAAAATGTAATAACTTCAACTATTAGTCCATCTTAACCAATAGCTGTTTGAGGTTGCCTTTCTGGGATTTCACCAGTAGTTAATGCAGTAAATGAATGCTGTTTAAACAACACTAGATTGGAAAATAGCATTAGCATTGGGGTACGTGGAGGCTTGCATTAAGATATTCTGATATGAAGCGTCCATTTTTCATCATCACATTAAAGGCCCACCCTACAGTTTTATTAGTTAATGTGAATCACATTAAGGAAATGAACTGACATTTCATGTTGACTTTCAGGTGGATTCTGCTTATCTGTTGCTTTTATTGGAGTTAAACGGATCGTTCACCCGAAGAAAATAATAATAATAATTATAGTGCAGCACAAGTGATATTTAAAGAATATTTCAGCTCAATAGCCAATGGAGTCCCAACAGTTTCAGGCTCCTAAAAGTAGCACAAAGTAGTCCACACAACTCTTCTGAATCACTTTGTATGATGAATGGAGCATAATTTAAGTTATTCACTCTCAGACTTCCTGAAGCGAGTGAGTAATATTGAACAACAACTCAAATTTCGACTTCAAACCATATCGCTTTAGAAGACCTGGAGCAAAGCCACTTTTATACACTAAAAATTATTTGTTGTGAATAAAACAAAGATTATTGGAGTGTTTTACAAGATACTATTTCAGTCTTTGTACTAAAAAATGTCATGGTTAATTTAATGTGTTACTTGCCATTTCTTCGTAATTATTTGTGAAATTTACTAGAAAAATCCTACACCAGTGTTTTCAGTGTAGTATGTTTGTCTTGGAGCTTGGCTGTTTGTTTACAGCTGAACTGTTCTTCAAATCTTCTTTTGTTTTACACAAGTCATACAGGTTTGAAGCTGAATGTTGGGGTGAGCCATCCCTTTAAAGGGGTCATGACATGGATTTTTGACATGGTTTACTTATAATGTTAATAAAGTTTTTTGGACAAAAACAAACAAACAAATAAATATGTGGAAAAATGCTTATTTTCAACCCTCATTCTGACCCTCTCTCTAAAATGACCTGTTTTAAAGGGGTGTGTCCTTTAAGGCTTTTCAGTAATTGGCCACTGTTATGATTGGCTAATTTCATTGCATAGGAAACAGAATCAACGCCCCTTCGCTATTGCATGTTTTGACAACATAATCAAAATAAAACGGTTATTTCCAGACAAAGCATTAGGAAATCATTTACCTACGGTTTGTGATGCAGCTGCAGTCAGATCTAGCACTGCTTCATCTCTCAACAGATGTTTCTTTGTGACTCTCCATGACACTGTGCCTCGTTTACAAAACAAAATCCTCCATAATCCGAACAATCTTCTGACACAATCCGGGATGACATTAAAAATAAACTATCCCCTTGTTCCTTACGCTGGGATCCTTCTGATATCTGAACAAAGATGTGAACGAGCTGTTTAAACCAAACTCGACAAAGTGGACGATCTTTCACTGCATTTGTCCTGGCCACAGACTCAAGCAGTGGACTGTGTCAGAAAGTGAACGTGCATCTGTACACTGTATCCAGTGTAGACAAGATATCGCAGTGATTGTGATTTCTATTTTTTGACGCGAAGCGCCACTCGCATTCAGCATAATCAAGTGTCAGCATAATCAAGTGAACGCCAGTGGGCGGGGCATATACTGAGAAGATGACTATTCGTCGATGTGTTGCTCTGGAGGCGGAGTTTATGCAAACGACTGTGCCCTTGTGACGTCAGCTTGTCCCTCGGATCCAAAACGAACCGTTTTCTGAGGGTTATTACATAAATGCTTTTTTATTGACGATGAGGACATTTTAAGTTATGAAACTTGCTATTGTATTACACCGTGTCCTAACTACACGCGATAAAAGGTATCTTTTCCATGTTAATCAGAGTTTTTGTCCTAACTAGCCGCGACACGCGAAATTCAGAAATGCTTTCTATTTCTGCGACGTCGCGGCTGGAACAACATACAAGCTATGACAGCGATACTGATTACTATGTGCTTTATTCAAAGTTAAACGTGTCTAATGTGAGTTTAAATATCATTTTGCGTGACCTTATAGCCATAATGAAAGCAACAACAAATCGTATACCTCAGATCTTGAAAATACATTTAAGCAAAGATGTACGCTAAAACTGTGAACTCAGTGCGAACCAACGAGTGTATTCCATAACAAAGATGGTATCAGACACTCAGTATGTACATTTACTGATGTTAAAAGGTTTAATATTTATGAATTAGATTATAAACATAACCATTTCGTTGCGAGTGCAGTGCGCTTCCAGAGAGAGCCCGCCCACATGTGCTTCTGATTGGCTGTGATATTTGATTGATTCTGTCACGTCTGGTGTGGACAGCCAATTTGCTTGTCGCTGGAATCGTGTGTAGTTAGGACACGGTGTTAAGCATACAAAGACCTCTTCTATGTCAAAAGGGAAACTTGGTTTCGTGTCATGACCCCTTTAACACATGAACTTATTGTTGTATTAGAATAAGAGTTACTGACCACTACGGCAAATTCCCCTTCTCCAACAGGACAACAAAGTGAACGGCGTAACAGACTCCACACGCATCATGGGCTATTCATTCCTCTACCCAGCGGTCTTGCCTCGCCCGTACGTCACCACGCTCCCGCTGACCCCCAGAGATGAGTTCTTCATCCTGGGCAGCAGAGGTCTGTTTGAAGTCTTGGACCCTAGCGAGGCGGTGGAAGCCGTACGGAAGGTGCCGGACGCGCTGGCGGCCGCCAAGAAACTGTGCACGCTGGCGCAGTCGTACGGCTGCACCGATAGCCTCAGCGCCGTGGTGGTGCAGCTCAACGTAGCGGAAGACTGTTGTTGTTGCTGTTGTGCGGCGTCTGCAGAGCCCGGCTCCGGAAGCATGCATGCGCCGCCGAGCCCTGGACTGTTCCCGGCCTCCTCCGCCGGCATGCCTCCGTCCTCCTGCAGCGAGATCAGCTCCGAGGTCAGTGCGTCCGAGATGAGCTCTGAAGTGGGATCCACCGCGTCCTCGGATGAGCCGCCGCTCCTGCTGCAGGAGGCGCAGCTCCACCTTCATCCGCAGAGCCACCCCAACTCGCGCCTCCCCTGCTGCTCGCTCCACCTCACTCCCAACTCCGGAAGCTCCTTCCAGAGGCAGCTTTCCAGCGCCACCTTCTCCAGCGCGCTCTCGGACAACGGCTTGGACAGCGAGGACGAGGAGCCCATCGCTGGAGTCTTTTCCAACGGCAGTCGGGTGGAAGTGGAGGCTGACGTGCACTGTCTGCTACCCCTGCCTCCACCTCCTCCACCCTGCACCCCAGAAACCCCGGAGAAGCTTCCGGTGGAGGCTGGGAACCTTGCGGGAGCGGATGCTTGGAGCAAGACCTTGGGGAGGCGGAGGGGAAATGGCTCGGTGGCACCGCAGGAGCAGAGCCACAACTTGATTGAGGTGGCGACTGAAGCTCCTTCTAAGAAACCTGGGGGTTACTTCACGGCACCGGCTCAGCCCGACCCCGACGACCAGTTCATCATCCCTCCGGAGCTGGAGGAGGAGGTGAAGGAGATCATGAAACAACATCAGCAGGACCAACAGAAGCCGGCTAAGAGCGAGCGACCTGCGGACTACTATGACACGCCGCTCTGAAGCAGGCGCTGCATTCTGTCATCATCTACTCACCCTGATCTCGTTGGCTTTAATACACAGTTCTTGAACATAGGGCTGGGCGATATAGCAAAAAGTAAAATCTTGATTTTTATTTTTATTTTATTTTTTCAGAACGTTTGACCGATTCAAGGTAATGTCGATTTTAACTAGTCAACTTGAATCATGTTGTAGTTTTGTTTTTAAGTAACATTCCATTTAAAGAAAGTTATTTTTCAAGCGTTCCACACGCTTTAGAGGTCGACTCAAAAGATCAAGGCAATTCAAATAAGGGCTGTCAAAATGGCTGAAAAGCTAAATTCGAATTTTGTACTTAAATATTATCAGTATTCGAATTATATTTGAATATAAAATGCATAATTTCAGTTAGGGGGAAAAGGCTTTTGGCTTCTCTCCTGAGGCCACAAGAGGGCGCATCGAGCAAAATATTACTAATGCACATTTATTCAAAACAATAAAATAACATGACTGTGAAAAAAGTGCATAATGTTTAAAAAAAAAAATTTATAAGCCAAATATAATTAATTAATTTGCGTAAACAATTATAAACAAAACAGCATTATGTTTGTATGTTTAACACAAAGGGCTGAAAGCCAATCACACAGTACTTTTCCTTTAAAAACATGAGATGTAGTGAGAAGGCCAAAAAAATGCCATAAATTCTCGAGACATGGTTTTTTTCTTACGTTAATTTTACATGGCTTTCTAAACATGCGGCTCTTGTGCGAGTGCGTTCTGTGTGAACGGCTTGGTTTCAGTTTTGACGTAAACAATATCTTCTCCGTATTGATGTTCTCTTTTTCCGCAATATTTTAATGAACAACGCAGCAGCGCTGCATCTAGTGGGTTCAGCTGGATAGGCTAACAAAAACATTATAATGCAACAACACCTACATCGTCATTGCACTCCGTGCGCCACTGATAAAGCTGCCTGACGCACACCTAAAATTCAATTGCAACATTTTTGCATTTGAATGTGGATTTTTATTTTAAATTCGACGAATATTCAAAATTCTAATTTTTATTTGACAGCCCTAATTCAAATCAAAATGATTCAAAGTATAGCAGTGTTAGTAGGCGAGTATTAACAGTAGATGAAAATAGCAGCAGCTTTGAGTCCGTTAGCATCATGCAAACATCAAATATCAGGCATGCAGTAGTAGTTCTGCACAAGTTTCTGCTTTTCCAGTGTTTATCTATGTAAACATGCACACGACGGACATGTTTGACCGTTGCGCTCACATCTTTTGCACCGTTACGCACATGAAATGGTGCTCTAAAAATGTGGCGTTCGAGTTAAAAGAAGTTGGTCGAGTCTCATAACCTTGTGTTTTTCCTGTTGCACTGCAGCGTCTCGTGTTTTTCAGCCCAGAAACACATGCTGTGTGAATAGTGGCGATATGCTGTACATTACACTCCTTCAAAGAGTGCAACACGTTAGCTGCTTCGTCATGTTCTCACATCAGCTGTTAGCATTGACGGATTGTCAGCGTGTCTAATTGTAACGTTTGCTAATGTTTTTATTCAAAACTGTGATTCCTCATAAAATCATGGCAAAACATTACATTTTAATTAATCGATAAATTTGGAAAAATTTCCCAACCCTACATGCAGTCCTTCGCCTAAAACTAAAGCGTTTCTTGCACAAATGTCACTGTTTTGGAGTGAATCAGAAACATGTGCAACAACATGAGGCTGAGTAAATGAAGACTGAATGTGGAGTATCTTCTGCAGCCAACCGATATGAATCCGTCAGTCCTCGACCTGCGACGCCACTGGATCTCAACCAGTCCCTTTAAGAGAGAAGGCCAGCGCTTTGAAGCGTTTCACTAGAGTTCACTACTGATCACTGACTCTTTCACTTTGATTTACCTTAAACCAATACCTACATAATTCAACACTAGTATTGCGATGTTAACTGTCATGACCAGTGACGGGACTCTGGACATTTTGATTTTGTTTTTTAGTTACCATATCTTTTTATGCGAGAGAAGCTACAACAGACTTTAAGTTGATTTCAAATCAGAAGATTGCGTTGACGTTGATTGTGTTGTACGGTACACACTAGTAAAACCACGCTTAGCTGTTGTAGATAGGGCACTTAAAGTAATACTGTATCTCTTCAGTAAATCAAGGCTTCGCGCCTGTATAAAAATAGAAATTTAGTGGAAATTTGAAAGACTAACTCCTAGGAGTTGCTTACTCTTTTATGGTGACTTCGTCACTTTTTACTAATCTTCTCTGAGAGAAATTGTGATTTTTTTTTTCTTTTCCTGTTTCCAATGATTGTAAATAAGAAAAATATTGTATACCGATGCTTTTTAAGGGAACTGTGTGTCTAGAACGAGATGACTCTTTATGCCAATAGATGTATATGTACCAGAAGCATATACACACACACCACCTGTAAATGAACTGTGCTTTTGCCCAGTGCTGTCATCACTCGCTGATCAATGAGCCACACACACACACACACACTCTCACACACACACTCATCCGCTCCTCACACCAGCATGACTGTCAAGTCCTGTAATGCAAAACAGTACATCTGTAAGGAATTATACTCAAACCAACCACACAAACAGTTTCTGATTTTGTTATAATAAATCTTAAATTTATGACTCTAAAGTATCTTTTCTTGTGGTGCTTTCTGATGTGAGTGTTTAACAGCTGTGTATTTCAAAGCTAAAGTGTGTCATTTGTGTCTCCTATCCCAGTAGAACAGAGGTGAGTGCTCTAAAATGATGAGGACAATTCATCTTTATTCAGTGAGATCAATTTCATGTGATGCATATTTTAAAGATATCACGATTACCATTATTGTTTTTTTTTTAAACATATTCTAAATGAAACATTGACTAACAAAGTGTTTTTAGTATTAAGTGAAATATCTGATTTTCTATGGTAAAGTTCAGTTGTAAGAAGCCATAAATTATTATAATGACCTACATTAAGTAACATTTTTTGTTCTCTAGTTCTTTAGCTAGTTAATTGCTACTTAATTTGGTCATTTAAATAATTACATTTGTTGAACTTATGTGAAGAAATGAGCGAGTATGAATAAGATGTTATTAGTGAGTATCCTGGCATCCAAACTGACTCGAATCTGTTTGACCAATGGCAGACAGGTGGAGACTTCTGGAAGCAGGTGATTATTTAATTGTGTGCATGCTTTTCAGGAAACAACACACTTCAGTTTCAGATCTCTGTCAGTGCTCTGACAAGCTGAACAGAATGTGAAATTGAATCATTTTTGTTAGATTTATTTTTTTCAGATGTCATGCAAAACAGCTCCCTCATTTTCACAAAAAAACACGGTTGAATAAAAACAAATCTCTTTGAAGGCTTCTGCTGCTGAATTCTAGGGAAGTGAAATCATGCGTCAGATAAAACTTCTCTCGATGGAACTGATGTGAAACAATGAAGCTGACAGCAGACTGTTCTGCGTGATCTCAACAAATCATGCCCAATCTATTGACTTACAAACTTAATGCATTACTGTCCGTTCATCAGGCAGGTTTCTTTAATTAAAAAACGTATTTCTAGCAAAGTCCCTTTAGTCTTTGTTTCTAGTAACTTACCGATTCTAGATTCTGATTTTCAAACAATGTGTTACCTTACATTTTAATTTTCTTGTAATTTTGAATTTACTCTGAAATTTACACAAACAAGCTTATGATTCCTGGAAGACTGCATTTAAACATCTGGAATAATGAGAATATACTGACTGACAACAAACCACCGTATTTGAAGGAGTGGACGGCACGAATTATCTTTTTATTTCAGTTTTTTTTCTCATTTGCTGATTTTCTTTAAAGACTTTAAAAAGGTTGTTAAAAGTGTTCCTTCCACTCTTCACTGTTTTATTTTTCTCTGTTTTAACACCTTGGCACAAATTATAGAAAACTTTATTTCAACTTTTAAATATTTTTTTTAGTAAAAAGTCATTTCTAATTTAGTTATAGCAATTCATAAATTGATAATCAACATCTAAATAAAATAAATACAATTTCTGTGGAAATAAACTCTTTAAATCTGCCTGTTCAGTTTGTGTTGGAGTCTGAAGGGTTAAATTGTAACGACCATCAGGTCAAATGTTACAAAAAGTTCACTTTTTTAGAATGTTTCCGCCTAAAGTTTTTTTTGCGATTGCTTTTCCCGCTAAAATACTTAAAAGCAATAGTTAACCAATGACAGAATGATTTTAAATGACCGAAGAATTGACCAATCATGTCTTTCCGTTAAATGGATGGGGTTTGTTTTCACTGACTTTGAGTTCCGCCCACTGTGGGGAAAAATACATAAACGCGGATAAACATGCTAGCTAGACTGTTATTGTCATCAGGATGGAAGCTGCGAATAAGGTGAGGACATTTAAAAGGCCGCTGTGCCATCTAATAATATTATTTATTATCAACATTGTTTGTCAGGAAGGTAGTGCTTATGGAGGACGAAACCTGCAAAAACAATAAATAAATACACAAATAAATAAATAAATGTGTGCATAAATACACGTATTCTTGTTTAAATACATAAATAAATAATTAAACGTGATTAAAGTAGGCAAATAAATACCATTAATTAGTGGGCAGTTGGAAAATGTTTAAGGAAATGCTAAACTCATCCTAACTATTTTCCTTTGATCACTCATTTATTTCTGAATGTAGTTCCACATTTTTTTCCTCTGCGCAACATGCTAATGAGAGGGTGTTAATTATGCACGAGTAGGCGGATCGTGTGTGACGCGTTTGCCTGCGCATGCGTATTAACTTCATCAGTCAAGGGGACTGATTATTATCTTACACTTTTTCATAAGGCTAGTTTTGTAGTTATAATCATGAGAGAGCTAAATCATAAAAGATTTTAAGTGGCCAATGTAAAATATTAATGCTTACATAGCTCTTAATTGCAATACTGAACCGTTATTTGCTTAATAAACATACTTTTTTCGCCTGTATTTTCTGTTCTGATAACTAATGGGGAAAAAACTGCCTGTTGCTCGATTAAACCACTTCATACCAGTTCTCAAGGATGTATATGAGCCTCTGTTTGTACAATAATAAATTGAGAATCAACTGAGATGTACCCTTGTGTGTCACT